TGACAAATTGACGGGGCGTGCCCCCGAGGCGATTAGCGCGGCGCGGCGGCGCAATTTGGGTCGGCCCGAGACAGATGGAGTCGGTGAGCTCGCAACGCCACGCAACAACAATATTGCGCGGGTTTCGCGCCGCTTCGCGCGTGGTGGCGCGGAGCCGCGGGCTGGGCAGATGGGGCGCGTCGTGGCAGCGACGTCGGCGGGCGTTGTTTTGGTGCGCGCGCTGCCCCAGCTGCGCGATGGGCTTTGCGCGGCCGCGCGCGGCGCCCGCGGTCGAAGTCGCGCGGCAGGCGTTCGATTGAGAATCCGTCAGTGGACGGCGCTGGTTGCGGCGAGTGCGAGCCCCTCCGCCGCGCCCGCCGTCAGCCCCCCCCACCGCGCGCGGCTGGGCGCGGTTGCTGGGAGCGGCGGTTGCGACTGCGGCGGGGGCGACGAGGGCGGGCGGGGGAGTGCGTGGGGGTGGGTGGGTGGGGGTGGGGGGGAGCGGGGTGCGACGAGAGGGGCGGGGCGGGGGGGGCGACCCGGGCGAGCATGCGAACGGGGGGAGGGGGCGGGGTGGAGGGGCGCGCTGCGGGGGGGGGTGGTGGACGATGGGGGTGGGGGATGGGCGAGGAGGGGGGATGGGCTGTGGAGGGCTGCGATGATGATGGGGGTGACAGGCTTGAGCGATCGGAGTCGGCGCACGCAGCGGCCGTCGGCGATCGCCGCGCACGTCTGCGTGCCGCGGAGGCGATGGCTACATCGGTGCCCAAAGGTGCAGGGGGTCGCCCGAAACATCGCTGCGAACGGCGAAGGGGTCCGCAGCCTGGAGGCGCGGGCGGATCGCTGATGCTGCGACCAATGAGCGGCTGAAGGTGGCTCCAACATCGCGGTGGGTGCGTCGGCGACTCGGTGGGTGGCTTGCCACTTTGGGCTTGGCGGCGTGCTGCTCGGCCACTGTTGCGGCCACTGGCGGGTAGCGCGGGCTCGGGGACTTGCTGGGCCATGAGCCACTTCTGGGCGCTGTGCACCGCTGCCGAATCCAAATTTGGTAGGCGCCCACTCGTTTTTCGGTTTCTCCTTGCCGCGCCAGGGCGCGGTCCTCCTGGGCACATCGGCGCTGTGGGGGCAGATCCAGCTGGCGCCCGCGGGCCATGCAGGAAAACGCAATTGTGGGCGCAGCTCAGCGCGGGCGCTGGCTTTTTTCGCAGTCCCCTTGCACCTTTCCAGATGCCCCACCTCCCCCCCCCCCCTTCCCCCCACACGCACCGCTTCGCAGCGGGCGCGCGCGTTTCGCTCGGCGTGGAGCTGGGGGCCTCAGGCGGGGTGCGATCGGGCGGCGTCGGGGTGCCGATTTCGGACAGTGGGGCTGTCGTTGTGCGAAAAGACAAGGTCCTCTGCCACGGCGCTATTCTGCGTGCACCGCAGTTCCTCCAATCCTTGCTTGCAGCGATTCGCTGGTCCGCGCTGGGGCCGCCGTGGGCAAGACGCTCGGCCGCGCGCGGGAACAGGTGCCGCGTGGCCGTCGGCCTAGCGCGCAGCGTGGCCGACGCAATCAAGTGGAACACGACGACTGTGACAGCGGCGGCCGCCTCGGGTTGCGACGCAACAGTTCAGCAATGTCGCCGATAGCGTTGGGCCCAGAGAGGTCGAACCCACGGCGCGCGACGAGGGTTTGGAAAGCGTCGCATGCGATCTGCGCAGGGTTGCGTGGGCACCTTTCAGTTTTCGCAGAAGAAGCTCGGGGATGCGGGTCAGCGCGCGCATGGTCAGGCCGCAGCCCTCGGGGCCGCCACCGCCGCGCAACGCCGTCGGGGCCGACGAGTATGGGGCTGCGAATAAGACGTTCGTTTGAGCGAGCTCGCCAGCGCAGCCGAACAACGCCCATCCTTTTTCCCAGCTGTGTTTGGGCGCGAACCAGTTTGGCCAGGGCCTAGACAGGCCCGCCCCAGCCCAGCCAGCACGACGCAGCCTGGCCTTGGGCCGCCGCTGCTGGCTGGGCGCGCGGGCTGGCGGCGCCCGCAATGGCTCGGCAGAACGACGGCAGCGCAGCGCAGGGCGATGGCGGCGGGGGCGGCGCTCCGCGGGCACGCGCTGCTGCAGGACTGGCACGCGCGAGCGCGGGAAGGCCGTGCTGCCCGTGCGTCGCGGATTGCGTGCTTTGCGGCGCCGCGCCATCGGTCGACGGTGCTGGTGCCGCAGCCCGCGCGGGCCATTTGCGGCGCCGCGCGCGCCCCGTTTGCGCCTGGGCATGGCGAGGCCAGCAGCGCCCCGTGCGTTTCTTGGGATCGCGCGCGCGCGATCGCGCAGGAGAGCGGGGAGGGGGGCGACCGCGGCGGGGGCGCTGGGGGCTCGCTGGGGCGCTGGCCCTTTTTGGTCGCCCCCCCTGGAACCCACGAGGGCTTCCAGGCCCGACGCGCGGCGGCTGCCTTCCAGTAGCGCCGCCGAAGGAACGCGCAGCACTGCGAAGAACCCTTGGTTGCTAACACTGTTGCCCCGACAACCAGCAGTGGGCAAGGTCGCGTCGGCGCCCGACAGGCGGCCACGGCCCTCAAGCTACTTTGCGAAAACGTGACAGTCGCACAGGGCAGCTCCTGTCCGTAAAGCTTGATGGGCGCAGAAGCTCGATCGTGGGCAGGGGCGCTTGCCGCCCGCAGCTGCCGCTGCTGCTTGTATTCAGGTGTGTCCCCAGCCCCTCGCCAGTGCCTCCCCAGGGGCGTCGGCAGCTTCTTGGGCTTCTTCGAATTGCACCCCGCCCGTTCCAACATGGCCATGCCCCCCTTCTGCAACATCCAGGGCCCCATGGACCGCGATGAGCATCGCCCCTCGCACCTGCCCCCTTCCACCGCAGCCCCCCCCCTCTCCGCCCGTCGCCCCCTCGCCTGCCCCCCCCGCGCGAGGGGGCTTGCACCGTGGTCGGGGGGGGGGGGGGGGCTGGCTGCGAGGGGAGCAACGCGCGCGCGTTTTGCAGCAAGATGGGCAGCGTTCAATACGCACCGCGCATCTCGAAGCATGCGTGTTCGACCGCGTCATGTCGTTAGCGTTTCTTCCTTTGTGAGAACGATGACGCCGCGGAAAGCCATATGGCAATGTTTCAAACCAGCGTTGCCGATGGTTGCGCGGTGTGCGTGCGGAAGCGCGCTGCGTTTGTTTTGCGCGCTTTTGTTTTATATGTTTTTTTTTTTTTGTTTTTTTCCGGCAGCACTTTTCAAGCTGCGTTGTCCAAGCATTGTTTTCCTTCCGCCTGTCCAATACAAACGCGGTGCGCCGATTGCGCCCAGCCCGCAGAATCCACCATGCCGATGTGTTCCGCCATCGTATGCACAAACGTGGCAAGCGACATTCTTTTTCGGGGTTCACGTCGTGCATATCCCCGCCCGCCGATGCTGTTAAGTGTGCGCGGTTTCCGTTACCCCAACGGTGCCAGCTTCGCTGCGCGTTTGTGTTTGTGTTGTTAACGGGTTTATACGTATTGTTTATCCACTTTTTTTGTAGGGGTTCTTTTGTATGTGTTGCAGGCGAATGCATGATGTATGTGTTTCCCTTGCGTTAGTACATGGTAATACAACAGTTTTGTCGCGCGTCGCACACTTGGTTGGCCCGTGGGTGCACATCAGTTTACTTTGGCTTGTGCGATGGGATTACCAGTGCCACTTGTGCGAAGTTGTGCACTGTGACCGATTGTCTGGCCAGAGCCGTGCACGCCCGCACCCCATGCGCAACCAGTATTTAGCTTGACGGTAGGAACTTACGACTGGCAATCCGTCGACCGATCGGGGGTGCGCGCGCGGGCGCGACCAGGGCGCCGCCGCGGGAGGCTGCGGGGGGGGGGGGAAGGGCACGGCACGCTGTGCGTTTGTGCGCAGCAGCACACCGTCCAGTTCCCCCAAACAGTGCTTGCACTTACGGGTTCTTCCTGGAATTTGCATCGTAGGTTGTACGTCATGTGTTCTACCGCATGCATTGCACCGCGTGTAATGTTAGAAACAACTGTTTGGTGTCCACGCCACGCAGGCAAACGTATCATGCGCGTGTGCGTGCATGGCTTGCGTGTGCGGGGGCGCGTTGGTTTTTTCATGGTTTGTGCGTAAGCATGGCGTGTGTGAACTTATGGTTGCGGGGTCTGTACGCTGCCGAATGTGGCATGGCTGTCGTGTCGGCCTCAGGGCGCCTACGGTCGGAGTTGCGTCAGTAGCAGGATTGGGCGTGCCACCCGTCTTCTCAGCATCGCGGCCTTTGCACGTTTGTCATTCGTTTGGTTGCAAGGCGGCCCCTCAGGGGGCTGCGATGGGCATGTTTGGCGTCGAGGGGGGGGCCGCGCGTGCCAGAGCGCAACGTTCGCCGCTTTCCTCCGCTCGTCGGGGCAGGCCGCGGCGGCGAGCCTGGGGCAGGGGCAGTCGTCGGAGCCGTCGGCGTTCACTGCGGTTCCTCGGTTTGCCATTGGCGCCGCAGGGGGGGGGGGCAGTAAAGGCGTTATGTGGCATTTGTTGCGTCCGAGCGTCCAGGGGCGGCCCATGGGGCCTAGCGTGGGCGATCTCGGGCAGTTGCAGCCGTGTTGGCGCATGAGTTTCCTGAGTTGCTTCAGGCAGGAGGTTGTGGCACCCAGCGCCTGGCGCAGACACGCCCCCTCGCCATGCCTGGCGGCGAGCCTCCACCCAAGAAGGCCAGGTCTGCCATGGGGCCGCCTCCGCCTCCGCCGAAGCCTCGGCCGACGAAGAGGGCGCCAGCAGGTTCGGAGGCGAAGTCGCCTGCGCCTGGGACGCCTGCCGCCGCCAGCGCGGCCAGCGCCGCGACATCGGCGGCGGGCTCCGTCGCCGGGGTGATCCCTGCCAAGAGGGCGCCGATGAGGAAGGAGCCCGTGGGCGATTCCTGCCAGTGCGGCCTGTGCAAGGCGATGGCCAAGGACATTGGTCGCGTCGAGCCGTCGGCCACCCCCTGCCTCTCACCCACGTCCTCCCGCGCGCCCCCGACGCCGCTCGCGAACCCCCTTCGCGGCCCCTCCTCGCGCGCGGGGTTCGCGAGAGGTCGGGGGCGTGCGGGCGGGCCAGCAGGACGGGAAGCCTTGGGCGCTGAGGAAGCTGCAGAAGAAGACCGCAGGGACCATGGAGGTGGCGATGGGCAACAAGTGCGAGGAGTGCTTCTCCCTGTGGGTTGACGCGTTCAGCCACTTGGAGTGGGACGACCTCTGCGAGCTGAGCCAGGGCGACGAGGAGATCAAGCAGTCCGTGCTCACCGCCAGGAAGGTGTTCAATGAGCACGAGCCGCCGCCGAAGCCCGTCCAGGAGGTCGCCGAGCGCACGGAGCACACGATCGAGTCCAGGAGGTCGTACATCGTCTTGACGGAGTCCGACTTGAGGAAGGCGTTGGGCGCTAGGCGCATCACGAAGGCTGCGACGAGCTCCTTGTATACCGCGGAGGTGCCGAAGGAGGATGAGGATGGCTGGGAGATGGCGTATTGGTTCGTCAACCCGATGGTGCCCTACAGGACCGTGGACGTGGTATCGCGGACAGGCGTCTCCCGCGATCGCTTCGTCATGGACCGCACGAAGCAGTTGTGGCCCAACCAGGGGCCCGTGATGAGCACCCACAGGACGCAGCTCATGCACAACGAGAAGGGCATCATGAACATCATTACCAAGGACAAGATGGGCTACCTGTGGAAGCTGGAGGACTTCTTGCAGTCCAGGCTCGGCGAGAACACCGAGGGCGGCACCGAGGGTCAGGCGGGCGGCGGCGGCGAGGGCGCAGCTGCCGACGGCTCGACAGGCGGCGGCGCATCGGATGATCCTGCAGACGATGATGACGTCGAGCTGGTTGGTTGCGCAGCGCCCCTTCCTGCGCCTCTCGGCCAGAGGGGCAAGGCGTTGCCTCCAGGCGGCACCCCGCCGAAGCAGGCCGAACCCCTTCGGCGCGCAGGCTCGGGCGTCGCGGGCTCGGCGAGCTGCGTCGGCGGGTCCCCGAGAGAGTCGGCGTCCCAGTTCGGCGGCGGCATGTCCGAGGACGGGGACGCGGCGTCCACCGCTGGCTACATGGAGGCTGGCAGTGCAGGCTAGCCGCGATCGTTGTGTCCATAGAATTGTGCATGTATGAACGCGGGGCTCAGCCCGAGACGCGCGCCGAACTACACATTGATGGTCAATGTGTAGTTCTGGTTAGGTGTAACATGGTTGGCCTTTATTGCCCTGGGGTCCCTGTCCAAACATCAGTATCTCAAAGAAATGCGCAGTTCCCTCGCTCGAGGGAACTGCGCGGTTCGTGGGCTGGCGCCCCAGACACCCGCAGTTATTTCATGTTGGCGACGATGGGGGATGAGCAGTGGTAGGAGGAGGAGGAGGAGGAGTGGATAATGGAGGTTGGATGGCAGTGGTGTGATCGAGGGGCCCCGCCTTGCCTGCCAGGCAGCAACACGGTGGAGTACTGGAAGAGCAAGATCGACCTGTCCTTGGTGATGGACGGCCAGGTGGACGGGCGGACCATCAGTGCGTGCAAGAAGGCAGCAGGTAGAAAGATGGCTGCTGATGACGAGGCTGCCAGGCTGGACGCGCAGCTGCTGAACAATTTCATGCAGCTGATCCTCATGGCCCAGGCCCTCCAACCTGCCACCATTCAGGGCATCGAGAAAAGTGAGCTGGCCATCTACCTGGGCAAGATGAAGGATGAGAAGGTCAAGTTTCCTTTGGGCACCAGCGAGAAGCTCTTGCACATGAAGATCGCTGACCAGCAGCAGCTGGGGAATATGATCGGTCTCTTTGATGCCCTGGACCCGTTCACTACTTCAGAGCTGGCCTCAGGTTTCGACCCTGAGAACCCTCGGTTGAGTGACATCGAGCTGCCGATGGGCGCCAAGACGAGGTTGTTGGTTCACATCTCAGTTGATGCGATGCTGCTCCCAATGCTCGCCAAGGGCATGGACTCACGCGCCCAGGTGGAGACCTACTTGAAGTTCTGCATCGATCGGTCCAAGGACGTCGACATCTTGGAGCTCGACGCGAACGCGGGCGCGTGCATATCGGAGTGCCTCGACGCGTGGCAGGCCGTGTACGCCCTCGTGCGCTTGGATCTGGACCCCGAGCTGGAGGATTCTCGGGCCCAGACCACCACCCCACCTAGTTTGCGCTAGTGGCCAGGAGGAGCTTTTCCGCATTCCAGCGTGGTTGTTTCATTTCATCTGCGTTGGTGTTCGGTACTTGCCCCAGGGCCAAACGTCCTCAACCATTGTTTTCGGTCCCTGAAGGTCCTAGTTTTCGTCGGGCTTTCGCGCCCGCGCGGGCTCGAACACGCGCGGCTGCGTTTTTGGAGCTAGGGGCGGGCGTACTTTCAAGTGGCGTTTTTGGTGTGTCCTGCAATTCCGTCGGGCCAGATCAGCGGTCGCTGAACGCAGCCGATACTTACGTCCAGACCCTCGCTGGGTCGTAGCCGCCCCCCCGAAACAAACCACCACGCCGAACTGAACGTTGCTTTGGCCCCGACCCCTGGAGGGGGCCATAGGAGTGCGTGCAGCGCCTCAAGGCCGCCATTGGCAAGACGACCAGGTCGCCCCTGACGGTCGTTGCCGCGGCGGTCGACTCCGACACGTGGTACTCCCAGATGTTGTCCGACTACATCGAGTACGCCCCTGGCTTGCTCAAGTACCACGCGCGCGTCGCCGAGCTGAGCAGTTGGGCCGACACCTTCGAGGCAGGCGCGGACACATACGACACGCTGGCCGAGCACATCAAGGAGGTGTCCATCATGAAGGCCCAATTGCGCCCTCAGTCGGTGAACTTCCTGGACGCTAAGATGGCAGCCGCCCTCGCTGCACAGCACGCCCGCGTCGCTGCCTCTGTTGCGGGGCCAGATACGATGCAGAGGTGGAGTGCCGTGCTCGCCGAGGCGTCCGCGTTGCTGCCGCACGACAGGCAGGTGGACGAGTGGAAGACCCAGAGCGCTGCGTCGTTGGCCAAGTTCGACCAGGCTTCCAAGATCGAGGCGATCTGCATGCTGTGCGAGGTGGTCCTCGACGTCGCCACGCGCGGTCCACAGGCATCCACGTTGGAGCTCGTCGCGTCGAAGATCCAGCCGTTGTTCAACGCAGTGGGTGGCGCATTCATCGAGTGCAGCGCCCTCAAGGATGCCGAGGTCGCGACCATCTCAGAGTGCACCATGGCGCTGTCCGAGTCGGTGGCGTACGAGATGACAATGGCCAACGTCGGCTTGCTCAACATGGCTGGCGCGTTGCACGTCCTGGACCTCGCCTCCAAGCTGACCCAGCTCTTGGGTGACCGCGCCAGCCAGACCTTCTACGTCGCCCACTTGCAGAAGACGGTCAACATGCTGGACGCATGGGGCATGATGACGCCCCTCGCCGACATGCGCACGAAGGATGAGCTGGTCGAGGGCATCTCGGCGTTCGCTGAGTTCCCTGCTAAGCTCGAGGCACTCACCCAGACGGCGTCTGAGCTCGCCGAGTTGAGCTTGACAATGCCACCCGCGGCCAGCTACACCGCCGACAGGATCAAGGCCTTCTACGCCGAGAGTTCGGACCGCTTGCGCAGCATCCTGAGCGCCAACCTGGCTGGGACGACTGCTGGCCTCGTGAAGGTGGCCACTTGCCTGGCCGACATGGCCAAGGGCACGCAGCTGGGCGACGGCGACCAGACGATCCCGTGGCATGAGACGTTCACAGGCAAGAGCTGGGACGGGTTCCTGGCGCACGCCGAGGTGACGCTGCTCACGCTCAACCCCAAGGCGCTCGGGTCTTGCATCGACGAGACGAAGAAGGCGTTGCGGGGGAGAGCGCGAGGGGAGGAAGGAGGCAAGGAGAGGAGGAGGAGGGCCGCGTCTCGCACGGCGGGCCTAGAAGGAGAGGGGAGAAAGAGGAAGGAGAGGAATGAGGCAAGGAGAGGAAGGAGGCACGGAGAGGAAGGACGCAAGGGGGAAGGAGGCAAGGCGAGGAAGGAAGGAGAAGAGGCGGGAGAGGGAATCAGACGGCAAGGAGAGGCAGGAGGCGAGGAGAGGAAGGAGGCAACGGGAGGACGATGGCCGCGTCTCGCCGCTTGCGGCATCGCGAGGCCCTCCAGATGTACCTCGCTGTTGCCGCAGTTGGCGGTGGCGAGCCCGACGCACACCTCGTTGGCAAAGTGCAGAACACCATCCTGAATGGCCACATCACGAAGCTCAGCGGCATCCTCTGCCACAAAGTCAAGACCATCGCGGACCTCGGTCCGCTCCGTGATGCCGTCCAGAGCGAAATGCTTCATTTCCGCAAGGAGACGGGAATGAAAAAGGAGAAGGAGCTTCTCCACCCTGTGCTGCTCGTCAGGGCGATGCAGGCCCTCAAGAAGACGTAGGTAGGCGACGCCCTGCCAGCCACCGCCAGCCCTCGAGCTCGCTGTCAGAGCGACGGGGCCAGCCCATGTGGTATGTGGTGCACATGTTATTGTATAAGTTTGATATGTTATGTTATGCTATGTTCACAAACATGCACACGCAAGCACCAACCACGGGCACCAGCGGCACGTTCGCACGACCAAGTTTGCTTGCTGCGTGGACGGCGCCGCGCCACCGACAGCGCCGCCACGCTGGAGCACCGCATGCATCAGCGCAAAAACCAACACCACAAACGACGTCACGCAATGGGGGAGGGTGGTGGACGAGGGGGAGTGGGCGAGATGGCGCGCAGGAGGGAGGCCCGCTCCCTTGCTCCGCCGTTCCTGGCCACTCCTCCTCATCGCCTTTCTGCCCCCTCTTTTTCCACTTAATCTCCCGTCCCGCTACCCCTGACCTTCATCATCCCTCCTCCCCCCTCTCCGCCCGCCCCGCGGGCCTGGGCCCTGCGTCGAGGCCGACGGGTGGCCGCGGCCGCACTTGTGGGGGATCTCCCTCGTCGTCGCCCTTCCCCCCCCCCCTGCTGTCGTGCTCGCTTTTCTTCCCCTCGTCCTCTCCCCCCATCTCCCCCCCGTTGTCGTCCTCCCCGTCCTCGCTCTCGCCTCCGCCCGCGCCCTCCCCCCCCCTCCCCCCATCCGCCGTTGCCATTTTGGTTCAAGAACGGCTGGCGGGCCCCTGGGGGCCAAGTCTCGGCGTTCCTTGTTCCTGAGGGGCGCGCGAGTGCCCCGTTGCGCCCTCTAGCTCGTTCGCGCGGCGGTTTCGCCTTCCCTCCCTCGGGAGGCGGGCCTCGGCTTTGGACCCGCTCGGGCGCGAGGCGCGCCTCCGCTTGGCGACTCCCCCGACTCAGCCCAGTAGGCTTTGAGTCGGGCGTCGATGGGGCCGTTTTTTTGCGTTTGACTTTGGTTGTGCAGAAGCGTGCCCTGGGGGCTTCGGGGCGCGCGCACTACGCCCCATAAGAGCGGATCTGGCGCAGCGCCCTTGGCGGCAGAGGCGCGCGGGGTGCCCGCAGATGGCGCGGGGGAGCTCTCGATGCAACCTCGCGCCTCGCTTTCCTCGGCCCCGTGCTTTCGTACTTACTTGGAGTTTTAAAAAATCCATGCATTTATGAATTTGCCAGGAGTTACTTTCAGGTTTTCCAGAGGTTACTTTAATGTTTTCCCATATGAGCCTCTTTAGCTGCCGTATTCCTTCACAAGTCTACCGTCCCCGACGTTGCCATGATACCGCGCCCGCCCAAGTCGCAGACTCGCACGGAATTGCCCGCTGGGACGTGCCGAGCGGCCAACGCCGCCGCGCTCGCGTCGGTCGCGCCAAACAAGCTGGCTGGCGCGCGCGCGAGCGCGCTAGGGTTCGCGCGGCCGCAGAGATGCACCAGCCGACACCAAGCACTCATCGCAATCGCTTCCGCATGGCTTTTGGATAGGAGGAGGAGGAGGAGGAGGAGGAGGAGGAGGAGGAGGAGGAGGAGGAGGAGGAGGGAGGCAGTGGGAGGAGGAGGAGGAGGAGGAGGGAGGAGGAGGAAAAGCAGGAGGAGGAGGAGGAGGAGCGGGATGAGGAGGAGAAATCGCTGGAGGACGGGGAGGGGGGGTTGGAGGAAGAAGAGGTTTTGGGGCCAGTCCTGGTTTCCGCCGGGTGAAAATGGGGGGATCAGAACTAAAGACGTCCCGGGTTTACCCCCCTTTTCCACCCTGCCCCACCCAGGAGGCCCAAGTTGCTCAACTGTGTTGCACTCTCGCCTCCTCTCCGTCGGATGTCCCCCAGAGATCTGCAGACGGCGCCAAGGAGCCCAGCAAGGGGGAAGGCCAACAGAGGCCGAAGAGAAGGCCGCATATCCCCCCCAAAGGGGCCGAAGGCCACCGCGCCCTTCGCCCACGTGACCTCCATTCGCGCCTCCGGGCACTTCCACGCCGAGCGTCCGCCCTCTGCCTCGCCCTCCCCGCTCTCGGGAGCGTCCAAAAGGGGTGGGTGGGTGGGGGGGGGGGAGGGGGCGACCGGGGGGCGGGGATCTCATGGCGGGAGCTTCGGTACCTCCCCAGATCTCATGACCCCCTTTTTGTTGCTCCTTCCTCCAGCGCGCCCCTTGGTTCCCTCCTGGCCCGCACACGCGTCTCGGGCCATGATCTGCGACCTCCCCCCCCTCATGAACGACCCCCTCCTGGCCATCCCCCACCGCTCCCCCCCCTTGCCCCTACCCTCCCCCCCCTCCTCGATCCTCGATCCTAGCATCGAGGAGGAGAAGGAGGAAGAGGAGGAGGATGAGGAGGAGGAGGGGGATCGAGGATTCTCCTGTTTCCCACTCCCTCCCTTGCATGCACATGTTGCACGCGCGCGCAGAACAAAATCCATGACGTGCCATGCCATGCGCCACATCACCGGTCATGCATGGCAGATGCCCCGTATTAAAATATAATGTGTTGCTCAATGCCTATCAGTACAGTAAGACAACGAACCATCGCATGCTACTCTGCACCGATACACAACATAATATTGCGTAGCATAGCACGGAACGGCAGAGCATGAAGATTCGGAGAGAACAGGCCCAGGACGCCAAAGAAAATTAAAGAAGCCAAGAACCTGGAAAGCCTGGAAACCTTTCTGGCTATCCCAAAGGAGTTGGATCGATTGGGGTTGGAGGGCGCAGCTGCTGTAGGGCTTCGGGCGCACAGGATATCAGGGCTCCATCCAAGGAGTTGCACGTTGAGGAGGAAGATGAAGGGTTGGGAGGAAAAGGAAGAGGATAAGGAAGGGCCCAACACCAGCCCCGTGCTTGGCAGGCCGTCAGCATCTGAGGGTGAACTGTCCAGTAGAACGAGCGTTTCTGTTGTCGTGGCGCCGCGACTACCCCGCCGCTTCGTGCGTCTCGTCATTCGATCTCTGTCAGTTTGCCACCCGCATCATCCTCACCATCTCTTCTGTCTCTCTCTCTTTCTCTCTCCCACCGCGGGTGGTCGCGCTTGCGCAAGCCCTCGGGTCGAGGTGTTGGCGGTTGAATTTCAAGGCGGTCCGGGCCCCCGCCGCCCCGGCCAAAAGACAGACCAGTCGAGTTGCTCTGATCACCTTGGAGTGTCCTGGCCGCCTGGAGGCCTTCTGGGGTCTTGGGGGGGAGGTTTCTTGCGTTGCTGCTTGCGTTTGTGTTTGCGGCGGTGCTCATGTTAGTGGTTGCGTGGTAGTTTCTGCTGATGATGGCTGCGCTGGCGGTTGCGCTCGTGCACGGGGTGCCGGTTTGAGGGGAACGATCAACAGAAATGGGCGTCGAAGCCTTCAGCCCGCGCTGACCTAATCTAAAAGAATAGGAATCTGTCAAAAGCCCCCCAATGGGGCGTTCGTCGCATGTTTCGTGCGGCGTTCGGTTGTGCTGGTGTTCTTGTTGGTGGTTGTGGTGCTGGTTGTGTTTGTGGTTGCGATGCTGTTTGCGCTGGTGGCAGCGCTGATGGTTTTGCTCGCGTTTGTGATGGCGGTTGTTCCTGTGATTTCGGTACGGGGGCAATTCATTCGGAAAGGTGCTAAGGCAGCTGGCTGCGTCGACCTATACTTAATTAAATTAGAATAGGTCAGGAACCCCTTGAATTCCTATGCAGACTGCGTCGTTGTATGTTTGGTTGTGCCGATGGTTGTGTCGATGGTTGTGCCGCTGGTGATGTTGTTGTCTGCAACATCTCCTGGCAGTGGGTCGCAGTGGATCATCAAGAACAGCATCATCATCATCATCCTCATCATCATCATCATCATCATCATCATCATCATCATCATCAGCGTCGTCATCATCATCATCGTCACCATCGCCACCATCATAATCATCGCCACCATCATCATCACCACCATCATCATCACCATCGGCATCGTCAGCACCATCGCCATCACTAACATCATCGTCATCATCATCGTCATCAGCAGCATCATCATCATCACCATCATCGTCATCATCATTATCATCGTCATCATCAGCATCGTCATCATCGTCATCATCGTCCCAGCCCAAAGGGTTTCGGCCCATAGGGTCTCGGCCCATAGGAGCTCGGGACATACCCACAGGCCAACCAGCCAGCCAGCTTGCAAATAAGCCCAGGAACCCCCACGAACCCCCAAGAGCCAGCAACAGGAATCCATAGGAATCCGCGTATACACCCCCACGGGAATCCATAGGAACCCATGGGGACCCCCATAAGAATCCGAAGGAATCCTCTTAGGAATCCGTAAGACGCCCCATAGGTCTCCGTAGGCATCCCCAACATATACATTGGAATCCCTAGGAATCCCCATAGAAATTCCGATGGGAATCCCCACAGGAATCCGTAGAACCTCCCATAGGTGTCCATCGAAATCCCGTTGCGAATCCATGGGGTCCCCAATAGAATCCACAGTAATCCTCAAGGGAATCTGTAGGACACCCCGTAGGCGTCCATAGGAATGTTCGTAGGACTCCGTGCGCTTTCCCACAGGAGTCCATAGGAGTCCCCATAGTACGAGATGTGTATATACATATATATATATATATATATATATATATATGTCAATAGCAGCACACACACCACCAACAACAACAATACCATACAATAGTAACAACAGCAACAACAAAAAGGCGGCCCGCCCGCGGCCCTCGCGACGCCAGAGTGCGTGGCCAATTGGTCCAAAGACCAAAACAGCGCAAACGAGCGCAAATGCTTAGATCAATGCCAAGCTCCCCCCCCCCTGGTGATCCTGCATCCTGGGACCGAGGAGACCGAGGGAGGGGGAATCGAGGGACCTCCTCCTCCCCGCGCCCCTTCCCGTCACCTTCCCGCTCCCCCTCTCCCCTCCTGCCCGTGCCCCCCTCCCCCCGCCGCCCCCCGCCCCCCCCCCCCCGCCCAAAAACACCCAGGTGAAGCAGTGCGAGGAGGCGCCGCGCCGCGCTCCGCTGCCGCCCCGCGGCGCCCCCCCGCGGCGCCCCGCGCGCTCTCTCGGCCCC